CTCTAGGCCAGATGTGTGTGTGCAACCAAGAGCAGCTCCAAAACCCTTGCCCCTAGGAGGCAACCCTGGGCTTCCACTGGGCATCTGGAGCAGATGCAAAGCTTACCTCATTAAAAAAAAAAAAAAAAACTCACCACCCAAAAAATAAAGCATTTTCCTCTAGTTTTTGAGATACTATTGATAAATCCCTCACGTACTAGACCCACCTTGTCACAGAAACACCCTAGTCACAGAAACAAAAGATCCTGCAGTATCTATAGGGTTCTGAGAAAGGGAAAGGCAGAAGAACAGAAGCAACAAAAGGAGTAGCAGAGATTGGGTGATGGAGCCAACAGGTTCCCACTATACAGACGACTCACCCCCTTGGCCTCAAGCTCCCCAAAGACATCCATGCAGAAGCCATCTTTCCCTATCTAAAATGTACTCGGCAAAAAATAAGCAATAGAAGACTGTCCTTACTTGACAATTTTCCCCATGGTGTTGCTTGGTTGATTAATGGGCTCTCCTGAACTGCAGAGTCCACTATGTAACCAGAGCCCTCATTACTGGAATAAACATATGCTGAACACCCCCCATGTGTGGCCCTGTGCCAGTGCTGGAGCACCAAGATGACCTAGATATTGGGTATTCCCTTGGGGAAAAGATGGACATTTTACCAAGGACATGGGACACTTATGTTGTGTGGTCTGGGGTGTCCTAACAAAAGCCAACGATTACTGCAGAAGCACAGAGAGTACCCAGCCTGGTCCGAGGGAGGGGGCAGGTGGCAGGAGCCATAACTTGCCATTAACTGAAAACTTGGCTAGATAAGAGGAAGGAGAGAGGGAGGTAGGGTGGGAGGCTATTCTAGTGCACCTGGAGGAGTACAGGAGGGTGGGAAGGGGTTTCTAGGAAGGCAAGGGAGTCTGCTTGGGACATGGCCTGCATGACGTGGTAAAGAACCTGGACTTCAAGGTACAGACAGGCAATGGGACCCACAAAAAGTGCTCTTAGATGGCAATTCTCTGAAAGCAAAAAGATCACTCACAAAGTCCTGAATGAGGGTGGTGAAGGGAATAAACTCAAGGGATGTTTATGAGTTGGAATTGACCAGATTTTGGTGAGTAAACAAACATAGAGGGTGAAGAAGGAAGAGGCAAGAGTGACCCAGGTCTGGGCAGAGGGAATCTGAGCTTACTGAGTGTCTAGTTTGTGGCAGTACTGTGCTAGGCATCGTGATATTTTATTTCACTTAATCCTCGTATCAGCTGGTGAAGCTGGGGTCCTGTCCTCATTTTTCCCATGATGAATTAGAGCCTTAGGGGCTTTGGAAGCTCTCCAAGGTCACTCTGCTACTAAGCAGTGGGAGGAGACTCTGAGTCCAGATTGTTCTTTTACCTACATGAGTTGAGGACAGGCCGAGTCTGAGATGTAGCACACAGCCAGACACTCAGATTTGTGTGCATGCACCTGGGGAGTGGGTGAGAGCTAAGGTGTAAGGACGGGAAATACTGCAGGTGAAATGTCAGCAAAAGTGCTCCTAGTAGGAAAGACTCACAGAAGATGAGTTTTGAAGGAGTCTGAAGAGGAGCATCAAGGAAGGAAATGGAGGAGGAGAGATATGTTAGAGCAGAGGCCAGCCCTGTCAAATGTAACACGTTTGTCAAGGATGACACCTGAGAAGTAACCCCTGCTTTGGCAATTACAATATTTATGTGGCCAACCTTCAGGATTCACAACTGACTTTTGCATCCCTTCCTCCTCCTCTCCCAGATAACTGTCCCTGAACCTGGACTCACAGCACTCCACACACCGAGCTCCTGTGTGTGTGTTTGTAGAATGCTTCAGTTAATGACTGCACACACACACTAGATGGTAGGCACCAGGAGGGCAGGGAGTATGATTTGATCATCACTTGTTCCCTGGCATTAACACAATGCCTGGCACAAAATGAGCACACAGTAAATAAATGGTCAATGTCTGGCAGAAGCTAGCACTCTGCTTTCCCTCAGAGATCAGAAAGTGCTGCCCCTGCTACCTCCCCACACTCAGCAAAGTCAGGAGATGCCTCTCTGTTCTCTGTGACTCCAGATGGCTGAATGGTGCCAGAGGCTGCTCTGACCTTGAGCCACCTTCCTTTCTGCTTGGCTAAGCATGGAGTAATATACTTGCTTTTGCTGCCTTTCAGGCCTGGAGTCGTGGTTTTAGCACAAAGGAAGACACAGTGGCCATTTTATTCATGAGGAATCAGTGTCCCTTAAACAAGAATTTAACTGTTAGTCTGCACTATGCAGGGGAACAGGGACAGGGCGGTGGAGGAACATAGCAGAGGGCTTCCAGAGTCAATGCCCAGGTCTTTCCGAGTCTTTGAAAAAATGTTACAAATACTGGCTGCAGGAGAAAGCTGCAGAAAGTCCTGAGAATCAGTGAGCCCCAGCTGAGCCTCTAACTGGCCATGTGGTCCCCGGGCAAGTCACTTAAGTCACCCATGCTGTCACTTAACAAGTACCCATTCTGGACATCTTTCTTCACCTGAAAAAATATGGAGGTGGACTTCTTTCCCCTTCAGGACACTGTGAGTGGGTTAGTACTTCTGCATGGGGTAGGGCTAAGCAGAGGCATCCACAAGCCTCCTGACCCCAGCACAGCCTCCCAGAGCATTTGCTCCAGAGCCCCATGGCTGCTTGGTCAGAATCTCTCCTGTTCCAGTCTGGTGATGCTCACTGGGGAGCTAAGATCGAGGCTCAGCGCACAGGCTCTAAGGCTCTAAAGACCTAGTTCAGTGCCCTCAGGTGCCTGGCCAAGGGTAAGTCCCTGAGTCACTCTGAGCCTCAGTCCCCTACCTGTACTATGGGAGCCTCCTTCCTTGAGGGGGTCTAGATGGGAGAAAATGCAGAAAAGTACTCAATGTAGGGCCTGGTATAGAATGAGAACATGATAAATCTTAGCTATCATAATAATAAATATTTATGGCTTAGATCCATACATCATAAATGCCTAAAAAAGAAAAAGGATATCGTAGTGACACTAGGGATCTTTACTAAACCTGTAGTTGTAGAGATGAGGAAGCTGAGACCCTGACAGACCAAAGGAACTAACCCTAAGACCTGCAGGCAGAAGTTCAGCCATCAGCCAGCTGTCCCCATGTCCACATGGGATGGATTCCAATGCTCCATCCTAGCCCCTACGAGGGCCTTGGCAGATTTCAATCCCAACCCCTCAGCTCTGTGGACCCTGGCGTCTGCCTCTCCAAGTCTCCTGTCCCTCTGGAACACAACTATCACCAGGGGCTCAGTTAGAGGGGTTTGTCCCTAGCAGGCACTAGGTGGAGTTCTAGCATGACTTGACCCAGGCCTGTTTCCTTGAATGGGACCAAACAGTCTTGCCCAAACAGTTCTGACATTCCATTGTTTCAAGAACTGGGTTCAATTAACTGTGAACAGTGGCTGGAAACCACACTTAACTGGAATCTTTCCCAGAAGCTCTTACCTTAGAAGAAATATGCAGAGCCCAAGAAAGCCATAACCATTGCTATCCTTGTACAGTCTCTGAGTTTACTAAGTGTGTGGTCCTCTGTATCACAGTAGCTGCTCCCCTATTTTACAAGCTCGCAAGACTGAGTCTCCAGGCAGCTTGAGCTCCTCCCAGGTGGGTCCAGAGCTCAAAACGCAGATGAAAGGCAGCTTTTAGCACAGCATTGAGTTTGAGCAGGAGCTCTGGGCCCACCTGTATGCATTGCACCCAGAGGCAGAGGCATGGTCCAGAAAGGAGCCAGGAGCGGGATCCTAGAGGCCAGCACTCTCCTTTTTCTCTCTGGCTGGATCTGTGGTTTTACCTGTAAAATGAGGTGATCAGGTGGAAGGTCCCTCTCCCCATTGTGTTCTTGGAACCACAGCATGTGTATGATTGGTCCTCACTCTAGAAGACAGATGGTGCCTCTGTCGCTACGTCTTCCCAAGCCCAACCTCAGACCAGAGCGGAACAGGCCTTCCAAAAATGTTTAAGGGAGAGAGGGGAGAGAGAGGAAGCGAGGAAAGAAGTAAGGGAGGGAAGGCAGGCTGAAGTCCTCCCTGCACTAACATTCTATGATTCCACAAAGCTAAATTCTAAGGCAATTTACCACCAGTGACTATTAAGCACAGTCACACTCAGGGTGCAAACACACAAAGGGATGCAAAGGGACAGAATTTCAGAGGTTCAATGACATGTGAACCCACTCAGCCCAGGCACAGGCACAATGACTTCCTAAAGCCCAGGCTTCTGGTGAGCTCCCATGTGAATGTTGGGGGGGGGCGGGGGGAGGGCCTCCTTCACAGCAGAAAATCTCAGCGATGCTGGCATCAGAGGCCCCACTTGCTTCCATTCCATCCACTAAGTTCACGTGACAAGTCAGCACTTTGCAGCTGCTGATTCCCATTCGGGAACACGATTTAGCAGGATTCTGCAGTATTCAATAACATAAAGAAGAACAGGTCTTTATAAATAACTCCCAGTTAAAATGGAGCTGAAAATAGCAAGAAGAGGAAGCAAATTGCTAAGCACTTATTGAGTCGATAACATTGGCTTGGAAACCTTAGTGCAAATGGCTGGTCTGGTTCATTTCCTTCTTGTCAAAAGGTCAAATGCAGGATGGAACCTACAGGCACCAAGGCTGTGTGTGTCTGAGGACTGTTTGAAAGGGGGTGGCTCTCAGTGGTTGGCTTCTCATGAAGACACTAACATAGGCCTTGATTAGATTTCACTGGAGCACTGGTGGTTCTGAGCCACTCTCTTCACTGGCCGCTGGGTTGGCCGCTGGGTTTTGAGATGCTAGATATTACTATCTAATAATTCATGACTAAATCCTTGATATGAAGCTTGGGAAACCAAAGGTCTGAATTAAATCTTGACTTTGCTCCAGTGTCAAGTTTTCTGTTGCCTCCCTCTAATCTGTTCTCCACAGGGCCTGCCTTTTGCTGCAATGAGGCCACTACAGTTTGTGCTCTCTGAGAAGCTGAAATTGAGTGGAAATGTGCTTATTCACTTGCAGTCTCCAGGCCCCCTGATCCTGGAGTGTGACCCAGCAGCATGTGGGAGGGAGAAGGTGGAGCGGGCCTAGGACAGAGCTGACTGCTCCGGCCCCATCCCTGCCTTGCTGCCCCAGGACCTCAAAGCCACACTTTGAGGGAGCAACAGCCTGAATGGCTAAGCACACCCCGCCCAGCCAGGGGCCCCCAGTTCCTCCAGGAGGTGGAGGAGGGGCTGGAGGGTGTCTCTACCAGCAGCTGGCGGGCGGCTGTCAGCAGCAGCTGCAGGTGCCAGTGTGCACACGGAGGATGCCCCGGCTGTGCAAGTGCAGGAAGTTGAAGATCTCGGAGGGCATGGCGTGGAAGCCGGGGCGGGGCTTGACGTTGTCATAGTAGTGGTGGGTGATGTAGAGACCAGAGGGGTTCATGGGGAAAGCCCAAAAGCCGAACAGGTGCACCTCCTCGCACAGCTCCAGCGCAGCAGTGACCAGGATGAGGCCGGTGCTGATGCGCTTGGCGCGCACCCCGAGGCTGAGCCAGTAGCGCGACACGTTGACCAGGTACTGGGGATGGAAGTAGTAGACCGCCTGCGGCGACTCGAAGTCATCCAGCACGTACTTGACGCGGATGGACACGTCGGTGTTGCGCGTGTTGTAGAAGGCGGGCAGCAGCACCGACGCGTTCTCGTACACCTGCAGCACGCGGTAGAAGGGCCGCCGCCACTTCTCCAGCTTGTGGAACCTGCACAGGGGGCAGTGAGAGAGGGAGCCTGCTACCCGCTCCTAGCTCCAACATCCCTCGCTTCTCCACCCCGGGGGAAGTGGGTGGGCAGTGGGCAGTGGGCAGAGGGCAGTGGAAGCTTCCCCAAGAGCCTCACATAACTCCCCAAGACCCCCACTGTTGGGCCCAGGCCCAGCTCAGCCCCTCCCCCACCTCTTGGCCTACTTTACACACCCCTCTCCTAGTCTCCTTCACACCTAACTTTGCAGGCTCTCTTGACATCTGATGCAATTTAACAACAACTCCAACTCCTCCTCCTTCTCCTCCTCCTCCTCCTCCTCTTCCTCTTTCTCTCTCCTCCTCTCCACTGTCCTTCCTCTTACCCATCATCTGATCTACATGGTGTGATTATGCCCAGCGGTGCCCTTTCAACACACCCTTTCTTCCCCTGAGAGCTCCTAGGAAGATCCCCAGCAAGGAGCCAGGTAGAACTTGGGTTTGGTTTTTTGTGCGTATGAAAGACACAAGGTCTCAAAATGTAGCCCAGACTGGCCTTGAACTCATAGTCCTCCTGCCTCAGCCTGTGGAGTGCTGGGATTACAGGCGTGCCAGGTTTGGGGGGTGAGATTCTTGCATGAGGTTTCTCTAGTGTTATATGGATGCTAACAGATATAACACGGCATGCCCTGGTTATACCTGGAAGGCTCCTGGCCCAACCCTAAGTGAGAGCAGTCTAGAATTGTGCTGTTCAAGTAAAATAAAATGCAGGTCCCATGCGTGATGTTGAATGTTTTTAAAAGTAGAAATAAATGGGGAAAATAAATTAAATTTAAATAACCAAATATATAAAAATACTATCATTTCAATATGTAATTAATATAAAAAATCAATGCGGTACTATTTTGTTCATATACAGTCTTTGAAATCTGGTGCATGTTTTACATGGACAGCCAGCACATCTCAATCTGGACCTGCCACATTTCCAGAGCCCAGTGGCTGCAGGTGACTGTTGGCCACCTACCATCAGCCGTGCTCTAGAAAGAGGGCCACTGACCTCTCAGTGATGATGCTGGGGTTCACGGTGACCACGTCCGTCTTCACTCCCACATCCACAGTGTACTTTTCTGAGATGGGGGGCAGGTTGCACCTACAAAGAGACAGGTAGCCCAATGCAGGTGATCAGTCATCTGCAGGTGGCTGGGATGGGGGCAAGGTGGAGGAAGGGATGGTGATCACATGGGAAGAGGGATACAGAGGTGGCCACCTGGGCAGGACCTCAGTGACTAGGTAATAAAACAGTGGTCCTGCTGGGCACCAGTGGCTCACGCTTGCAATCATAGCTACTTGGGAGGCTGAGATCACGAGGATCATGGTTGGAGGTCAGCCCAGGCAAATAGTTCATGAGACCCTCCCCCCATCTCCAAAATAACCAGAGCAAAATGGACTGGAAATATGGCTCAAGCATTAGAGCACCTGCTTTGCAAGGGTGAAGCCCTGAGTTCAAATCCTAGTCCCACCAAAAAACAAAACCAAAAGACAGTGGTCCTTCTGATATGGAGTAGGCAGGTCAGATAGGGAATAATGATAACCAAAAGAGTTAAGGAATGGGTGCTGCACCGAATCTGGGAACATTTTGCCAAACCTCCACTACTGTCCTGGAGTAGTGGTTGACTACGGTTAAGACTACATACTTCTTGGAACAGTGGCCAATGGTCCCCAGCAAGGAGTCCAATAGTGACTTTCCCAATTCTAGAGATTAGCAAGAGGCCTCATTTATTATCTAATTAAGGTTAGTTTCATGCATGCACCTCCCCTCAAATTGCCATCTTGGCTCTGAGGACACCTTAGTAGGTAAACCACTCCCCATTCCCTGTTCTTGGAAATGCCCCCCTATTTCTTGGAAAACTCCACAATCATGTACATATCTTTAGCATAATCATTAGCATAATAATTAAGCCGTCCCCATAAAAGTGCCTAAGTCTAGGAGCTCCGAAAACGTGACTGTTTGTTCAAGCCACCTACCCTCAGTTTCCTTTGGCTGTATTCTGTTGCTTTATAATCACTTTGGCTTTAATAAGATCTATCTTTTGCTAAAATAAATTACTCTGTTAAAAAAAAAACACTCTTTCTGCAACTGCCCTGAATTTTTCTTCAGTAAGACCAAAGACCTATCATTTGTCTCCTCTGACATTTCTGCTTCACATCAGACACTGTGACAACAAACAGGCCCAGTTTCTGGTTTCACTGAAGTTCTAGTCATAGGGTGGAGGGAGAGGGGGCAGAGAAACCACCAGCTGACACCTATAGTTACAAGCAGAAGCCCTAGTCCCTGGGCCTCTGGAAGACAAGGTCATGAAGCCAAGCAGACAGATGCAGTGGAGCATCCCTTTAAACTAAGGTCCGAAGGAGGAAGTAGGCAAAAGCCCACTGGCAGGAGAACTGAACAAATGTGGGTGAATAAATGCTGAGAGGCTGAAGGTGTGGCTCAAGTAGTAGGGTGCCTGTGTACAAGTGTGAGGCCACGATTCAAACCCCAGTACCACCAAAAAATCAAAAATGCAATACAGAATGACAGAGCAAGTCACACAAATTCACATGAGTATAACTTGTAGTGGGGAGCGTCAAAGACACCTGCAAAACACCAATTCCCTGAATAATATACGCCTTATCTGGTAGAAGAGTCTCTGCAGCTGAGATTAAGGATCTTGAGATGGAGAGATTATTCTGGATTTCTGGGTGGGTCCAGTACAATCATGAGGGTCTTTGTAAGAAGAAAACATGAAGGGGGGAGAAAAGACCCAAACATTGTATGCAGATATGAATAAAAAAAAAAGAAGAAGAAAACATGACAATAGAATCAGAACCAGAGAAAAAGATTGGAGATGCTACACTGCTGATACCAAAGGGGCAATGAACCAAGGACAGCTTCTGGGAGCTGATAAAGGAGCCCAATTCTCCTAGAACCTCCAGGAAGGAATGCAGCCCTGCCTGACACCTTGACTGTAGCACACTGGGACTTCTGGCCTCCAGAGATATAGGGTGATAAAACTTGTTCAAGCCCTGATCTTGTAGTGACTTGTTATAGCAGCAATTGGAAATTAATCCAGCCCCCAAGCAAGCAGACTGAACAAAAAAGTACTAGGGGTGCATCTACATGTAATAAAACAATTTTTAACAATAAAGGAATAATAAGTACAGAGTTCGGGGAACTGATATCTTTGGAGAGAAACAGGTGGAGCATGGACGAAGCATACCAGGCGAGATGCTGGCTGGATGCCAGCATTCAACTTCTTAAATTAAGTGGATGGCTTACAGATATTCACCTCATTGTTTTGTTTTGTACCTATGGATGTGGTACAAATATTTCTTCACATCAAATATTACATAATGAATGGACAAATAATAAATTTTGAGAAGGAGTGGAGACTAGCTGGGTGACTCAGAAGATTTGAACATTTCAGACAGAGGTCTTATGCAAAGACCCTGTAATAGAAGGGAACTGGGAACATCCAAAAGTGACTAGAGCCTGGTGACTGGAGCACAGGAGGGAATGGTGCAAGTTGAGGGCAGAAAGGGAAGAAAAGGCAAGGACTGTGAGCCATGGGAAGGATCTGTCCTTCCTCCAAGAGAAGCATGGGTGCAAGGAATAATTGTATAGAAGAGCCAAAGAACACAACCAGAATCTCTCTTACAACTTAGCCCTACCTCTTCTATCTGCCCACTATGGAAAGCAGGTGTTATATCCCCTTAAAGACAGGGGTTGCCAGGCACCCGTGGCTCATGCCTATAATCCTAGCTACTTGGGAGGCTAAAATCAGAAGGATCAAGGTTCAAAGCCAGCCTTGGCAAATAGTTCACAAGACCCCCCCATCCCCAAAATAACCAAAGCAAAATGGACTGGAGGTGTGGTTCAGGTGGTAAAGTGCCTGCTTTGCAAGTGTGAACCCTGAGTTCAAACCCTAGTCCCACCAAAAAATAAAATAAAATAAAAAAGACAGGGGGTGTGTACAATCAACTACCATTCTGTGAGTGCCTGTGACATGCCAGAAAGCTGCACAGGATTATATGCAACACTCATAACCTGAGGGGGCAGATATTAGGGTCCCTGTGTGCACAGGAGAAATCCAGCATTTACAGGTCAAGGAGTGCGATGAGATGGAGCGGTCAAGGCAGGATGGGGGAAGGCAGGCCTTCCTGACCTGAACCTAGAGCTCTTTCCCAATACAACATCACCCAGGATGGACATCGCCCAGAATACAGCAGAGACTTATGCATCTTGGGGACACACAGCAGGCATTCAGTAAGGTTTTGCCATTGCTGCACTACTGGGACAAAGGTTGTGAGAACGATGAAAGGTCCACAGTCTCTCTAAAACTAGTGCAAACAACGATGCTACAACAGGTCTCAGGTGGTAGACAGTGAGCTCCCCTGGGGGAAAGAAAGGGTTAGTTGTTATATTCTCAAGCCTGAGAGCTAATGTAGAAGAGCAGGCAGAACTGTGTCACCATTTCTGATCGTCACCACACACGTGATCCTGGCATGGACTGTCACTCTCCCTGCTCAAAATTGCTTTCATCTCATTTCCTCAAAATGAGAGGAATATTAAAAGGCATATCTGTTAGTATAGCAAAACTTAGTTATGTGTTCCACGTTGTGTAATTCCACCCAGAGATGGGTGCTACTGTCACCCTTATATTACATTTCAGGAAGCAGAGACAGAGTAGATGGGTTGCTCACCCAAGATGACATAGCCCCTTGCTCAAACACAAGTTGCCTAGCAGCAGAGCCTGGTAATCTGTCACCTACTGTTGCACCCCAAGGGTCCTGTAAACCATTCTTCCACTGGCTCGTTCCTTCCTCCCTTCATTTCACACTTATTTTCTGGGTACTTAGGATGTGCCGGTCACAGTCATAGGAGTTCTTCGTAAGTTTCTAGTCTCCACGAACAGGCAACTTCACTTCCTCCTGATTACAGAGCTGGGTGCCAAATGCCACGAGAGAAGTAGGACCCTGAGAGGTGGGAGCCCAGAGAAGGCTGCTTGTAGGGGGATTAGGGAAGGAGGTGGTGATCTTGAGCTGAGCTTAGAAGGACATTGAAGTTAGCAAAACCAATGGTGGGGACTAGGGGACAGGGTGGCGAACATTCTGGGAGAGGGGATAGGACCTGGAAATAGTAACCACTGATTTTTTTTATTGGCACCAATGGTGTGTCCAGGGTGATAGGCTGAGGCCTATTCAGGCATTATCTCGCTTAACCCCAAATTCCACTCTACACATGGGCAAGATGACTTTACTGAAGTCACTGCCTGGATGGAACTTCAGGTAACCCCCAGAACTACCAAAGCTCCTTGCCAGACATTTTTAAGAGGAGATTCCCTGTTTCCTGTAGCAGGTTCAGGATTCAGGAAGGACTGGGAAGTTGGAGGACTCAGGCATCCACAGGGAGCAGGAGGGCTGACAGTAGAGGCAGTAGAGGAAGGCAACTGCCATACACACCACCCACCGACCCATGGTGGTGATGCTACTTCCACGCCTGGAGCAGGGTGTCCTTGGCTTCCTTCTTCTAGGGTCAGAAGGCTGCTATTACACTGCCAGGAAGTCAAAATATGCAGAAGCCACCTCTACTTTCCAGTCCACACCACCAAGTCTGAGTGGTTCTACGATTGGGAACCACATCCCATGCAATCCCACTGCACACTCAGCCCAGATCTTGTTTTCAACCAATCTTTACCCAGACTAAAGAAGAGAGAAAGGATCCCCAAAGAGATGGAGGAGAGGCTCCAGATAAGAAAGAGGAAATGCCAGGACCAGTCTCCAGCTTAGTAAACCCAGAGTGAAGTGACAAGGCTGGCCAGGTTCCTACCAGTGCTTGTGGAAGGGGAGAACCCAAACAGGGACCCCTCCCTCAGATCCGCATGCCCCAAGAGTCCGCAGGTTCAAAGTGTGCTGTTTGCTCCATTGCATGCTTGCCCTGTGCAGATATAGAAACTGAGGACCTGAGAGTTCAACACCTGCCCAAAGGGCCAGAGAGGGAAGGGTACCCTGGAGCCTGAGGGTGTGCAGGGGCAGGGAGTAGGGCCGCAGCAGGGCACAGGGTGGGCCACACCAGGGGAGGGGACATGCAGGGGACCAGCAGGTGTGGCACTCGCTCTTACCTGAAGACGAAGTCCGCGCTGTTGATCTCCCTCCCGCAGCGGCTGTTCTTCAAGATGCCACCGTTACCCACCACCGCGCACTTCTTAAACTGGGACCGGTAGTAGGGCATGTCCTAGGGAGGCACAGGCATTGTCAGAACCCACACCATCTCCATCTAGGGCTCTCACCTTTGCAACCACATCCGCCTCTGTGAGCTCTTGGCCCCAAGAGACAGCCCCATAAGCAATGGATGAGAAGCGTGGTCAAGAGAATTGCTACTGTTAGTGGCTCCAGGTTCCCCCTATCTCTGGATGCCTCTGACATCCAGGAACCATGTGCCCACCGGCCAGTTGCCAAGCGGGGTCCCATGAGAACCACACAGCAATTGGGCCATCGGGAATTATCTACATCTAGAGGTGATGCTGGGTCCCTCTGGGGGGACTCTGTCCATGTCTACAGCTAATTAATCAGACAGGGACAGTACGGATATCTCATAGCCAGTGGGGACACTACACTGTTAACCTACCAGAGGAAGAAAAAAAAAAAAACCAAAACCAGCCCTCTTTGGAAAAAAAACCATCCAAGGCTTGTTATGATTCGCATGGGTATCTCCCAAACTTCTGCAAATCAAGAATTATCTGGAAATATCCATGACAAGGCTCCATTCAAATAGCATGGAATCAGAATCTCCAGGATGAGGACAGGAAGCTGAAATTTAACAAACCCAAATAAATACTTTTTTTTTTTTTTTTTTTGCATTACTGGAGTTGAAGTTCCTTTGTTTTTGAGACAGTCTCCACTACTTTTTGTACCCAGGCTGACCTTGAAACCTGTGATCCTCCTGCCTCCACCTCCTGAGTACGGGAATTACAGCAGTGCACCGCCACACCCAGCTCAATTTTACTTATCTTAAAAGAGAATGTCACAGGTTCTTATTCGGAAACTGGCACATCTGGCCTATTGTCTGCTTTTGTATGCCCACAAGCTGGAAATGGTATTTTTAAATGGTTACAAACAACCCAAAGAAGAGTATTTTGTGGCATTGAAGATTATGTAAAATTCAGAGTTCTGTGTCACTGGGACATAGCCATTCTTGTTGGTTTACTCACGCCCATGGATGCTTTGGTGCTGGGATGGTAACTATCAGTAATTGTGACAAAGATGATGTGACCTGCAAGGCCCAAAACCTTTACTATCTGACCCTTTCCAAAAAATGTTTGGTGACCCTACTTTATTTCCCAGGACCTGGCTCTCCTTGGATCAAGCTGCTTCATACCCCAGTGTGACCCGCAGGGCATGCAAGTTCACCTGGCATTTTTCAGGCCTTGCAAGACCCACCTTGGAAGTGGCTCATCACCATCCTTCCAGCACTGTTAGATGGGAGGACACATGTGATACCTGTCACCTTCAACTCCTTCCTCACCCCATCCCTGGAATGCTGAGTTTCACACAGGGAGACACTGGCTTTGCAAACTCATGAGCACTCCTCAGCGATGCCTCAGGTTTCTTTCAGAAAGACCCATGGTGCCTCCACTCAGCATGTCCACAAATCGGTCCAAAAGAACTGCTTTGGGCCTGGAGCTCTCCATGATGTGCTTACGAATACTTCCCCTGCCACTTGCCTGTCTGCAAAGGCCACCTCCCAGTCACCCACACACACAGTACAGAACCACTTGAACCAGCTAAAAGTGTACTTTCCAGGGCCCCTTCCCTGAGTCTGGGGCCAGATCTGCACCACTGGTCAGCCCAAGTGAGCCTCAGTGGTCTGAATGGGTCACTCCGTGGTCCCCATGGCCCAGGAGCCACCATGGTGGCCCTCCTCAGTCCACTTCCCTTTCCTCATGTGAAAGGGAAAAATAAATAAATGTCTCTCCTGTTTAAGTCTCTGCTATCGAGAATGTTGTGTTATGAGCAGTCAAACCTATGCCCAATCCAAATCACTGAGGCTGTGAAGGACGAAATAACTGTCCAAGGTCATCAGATGTGAGCTGACTCTCGCAGTGCCTAGAGCTGGATTGGGGTGTGCTTTCTGATACTCACATCCTTTGTCTGGTTTTGCTCTCGTGCCTGCCTCAGTGAGGTACAAATGTGCAAGCAGTCTCCCAGATAGCTGCAGGACATCCTCAGCAAGCAATGCCACGGGCAGAATTTTAACTCTTTCTTGCCAAAAGTCGCATAGACGATAGCCAGTTGGCATTCATTCTACCAGACAGGGCTACTGGGCCTAAGAGCACCAAGCAACCAGGAACCAGCAGCTGGGTGCACAGTGTGAGTCATCACTGGCATAGGGGGCACCCACCCCGCCAGGACCACCGTGCACAGCACACCTTGGGGAACATGCGGAAGATCTCCTGGTTGATGTGGAAGATGCCGCTGGTCTCCACCTCGTACTTGAGCTTCGTCCCCAGGGGAGTGTTCTTCTGGGTGGTGAAGAGAAAGGCAGGGGCATTGCAGCACCTGGATAGGGTGGACCTGCCGGGCAGAGAAACAGGAGGGTGTCACGGGGTGGAGCACAGCCTCAGGGAGAAGAGGGGTCATAGATCTGAACCTCTCCCATCCCACACAACCACCCCAGCCCCATTCCCTCACTCCTTCCCCTCACCTCTGATCAGGCTGCTCCCTCACCTCAGCCTTCCTCCTCCTACCTTGTTTGCCCTTCCAGGGCCCAGGCCAGGTTCCTTTGAGGAAGCCCTGGCTGCATTTGTCTGGAAGGTTGAACAGGCTGGAAGGAAGCCCCCTCTGTGTTCCCCACTTCCTGAGGACCTGCGAATGATCTACTGCTTCCCAGGTGGCACTCTTTTGCCATAGCGCAATTCCCCTGGGAGCTCCTCCTAAGGGTGTCAGCCCCGATGGCACACTGTGACTGTCAAGACCAAAACCCATGGGACCAACAAATTGCCTCATTTCCATCATTCAGAAATGAGTTTAGGGATGGGGCAGTCAGAAACTGGGATGGTGGGTTGACCTTGGCTGGCCTCCTGTAGAAAGCAGAACCTGGCTTCCAAAGTCGTTTCCGGGTGTGTGGGGGGGGAGTTCATTAAAAAAAAAAATCCCTAAGGCTTTCATCTCAGAAATATGAAAAGCAGATACAGATGGGTTAAAGCCTGGATGCCAGCTTTTAAGAAGCCACCTGCAGGGAAAATGGGGCTGATGAGGTGGCTGAAGCACCAGCCAGGCCAGATAGTTGACTTTCTCTCTTCTCTGCCACAGGTGCTCCAGCCCTCAGTGCGTTCTTCTGGGCCTGCCAGGGAGGCCCCTCTATACGGCCAGATCTGGGGCACACCATGCTGTCCTTTCCTAGGGACCTAAACGCCCTGGCCACCCAGGATATTAGACTTTACCAAGGGTTTTGTCCCTGTCCCCTCCCACATCGGGCTCTGAGCCACTGGTTCCACTTCCTCCCAAAGCTGCATCAGTGGGCGGGGCACTTGCTGGCTGCTTTCCCTAGCACTAGCTCCACAGTGGTCACCCCCAGGGGCCAGGCAGCCCCAGGGGAAGCGGTCACCTTCTCCACAGAGCACAGACATGACCACTAACAGAGGCTGAGGAGGAGGAGGTTTTGAAAGCTCCCACAAAGGTCTGGGATGGAAACATGGGTTGGTGTCAGGAAGCCTGGGTTCTAGTTTCTGCTCTGGGTGGGGCAGAGCTGTGGGGCTTTGAGCAGGTCTCTTGCCTCTCTGGGCCTCAGTTTCCTCATATATAAAATGCTGAGTTAGCTCTTTCATTTTTGATCCTCTGTAATTCTGTAACTCCAGTTTGCCAAAAGCTTAAGTTATTCTTTGTGACTTTTCTCTCTGACAGGGACTTCACTGAGGAGCCCTGCTGGTTGCTTGTCACAGAGAGCAGTCTTTCTGTGAAGAGTTGGGCTTTAAAGTATAAGTAAGGCTTCCAGAAGGGAGGCTTCAGCCTGGTAAGGCAGAGACCACAGTCCTGCATTACAAACAAGCATACGGTCCTTTCAGCTTTGCTGGGGCAGAAACTCAAGCTTGCCAGTCCTTTGGAGAGTACTCTCATTGAGGGAGACTGACTCACACTAACCAAACTTACAAGTGACTGATAGATAAACCAGAATACCAAAATGTCTACTTGCGGGCAACAGTATAGGGGAAAGCCTCTGTTACAAGATTCCTTTCCTGTAATTGAAATGCTCACACCTCACGTCTCCACTGCATAGGTTCCTGCCAACCTGAAGGAAAAATATCATTGTTCCAGGAGCTTGAAATGAGAGCAGAGGCAAATGATTGGCCTTAAAGGTTTTTCCATTAGAGCACAGCAAGGCCTGATGTCACCATCCTTTCCCACACCTGAAACCAGAAAGTTCCTCCCCTCCCTCACCCCATAGTGCTCTCTGATCCCTGCCTCTTGCTGCCTCTCACTGCATTGTTTTCCAGTTGCTTCATTCTTGACTTGGATGAGTGAGTCCACCAGTGAGTCTTGTGTTCCGTCTCAGCCCGGATCACATCCTCGCATCCTGCTGCACTACTCCCTCATCAGTGCTGTTTTATCAGTCTCCCCTCTGGGTGCTCAGGCCTCCTTTGCCCCCAGGGGGCATCCGGCTTCTATTTTTCTGGCAGGTGGGTCTCTGCAAACCATTGCCCAGACCTGAACTGGGTTTTTACAGTCTTTAGGGTTCATGACATTAAATACTCCCAATTCTAAAAATGTGACACTTAAAACTATTCTTTTAGCTCTTGGCCTGGAATCACCACAAACTGGAACAAATGATTTAAAAAGAAAATGCAGCCAGGTGCCTAGTGGCTCATGCCTGTAATCCTAGCTACTCAGGAGGCAGAGATCAGGAGGATCTCAGTTCGAAGCCAGCCTGGGTAAATAGTTTGCAAGACCCTGTGTTGAAAAAAACTCATCACACAAAAAAAGGAGTGGTGGAGTGGCTCAATGTGTAGGCCCTGAGTTCAAACCCCAGTACTACAGAAAGAAAGAGACAGAGAGAGAGAGAAGGAAGAAAGAAAGAAAGGAGGGAGAGAGAGAGAGAGAGAGGGAGAGAGAAGGAAGGAAGGAAGGAAGAAAATGCAAAGCGCTTAGTGCCATTTGCCTTTCACAATGTCCCATGCAGGATTCCTTCATGTTGGTAGCTCCTGAAGTATTTAAATTTGAACTGGTTTCAGCTCAAGGGGCCTGGATCACATTGATTCCACAGCATAAGGTCTACTGCACTAAAATGATACCATAGACTCACAGGATTTTTGAGATGGAGAGGACCCCAAAGCTCACCATTAATAAAAAGGATTTTTTGGACATCGCTCATCTGCTTGGCTCTCACAGGAGAGCCCTGGGATGTAGCTGCTGCCTCCCTGGATGTTTATAACCTGCTAATTGTGTTTAGAGAGCAATTAGAAAATAATCTACAGCTGGCCTCAGATGCCCACAATGGGTAATCAGATCACAGGGGCTCGGACAAAGGCATTAGAACTGTCCAGGAGTGGGAGACAGTGAGACCGCGGGGCCTGCAGGAACACCTCAAGCACATATCTCACCGCTAGGAGCCTCAGGGAACCCCAACTATGTGCTGGAGATGACAACGACCTTGTAGAGCTGCGACAGATCTACAGGAGAGTGTGGAAGACAATGGCCAGCCGAGTGCCTGCCTTGTCACTGCCGGATGCCTAAGCCATTGGGCCAGATCTAGGAGAGATGCCTCCCAAGAGCTAGGCCTTGTGGGATGATGGAGATCTGCAGAGGTGACAGTGGACCCCACACTGGGAGGAGGGAGGGCAGACAAGTGACAGGTACTTGAACTGGTTGGCTTCCGAGATGTTCATCGCCCACTTGCACATCTGGAGGCTCTGCCACCTGTCAAACAGCTCCGACTGCTTCACCCTGTGGGAGCGGATGACAGAGCAAATGAGAGGGTCACCTGGACACAAACACTTCCTCCCTGAAACCCCAGATGCCAGATCTGGGGCTGAGGCTTTGCATCAACTCTGTTAGGTTCTGCATTCTTTGTGCTGTAGTGATAATTCCTGAAGACAGCAAACAAATCTGTGTGCTGCCGTTCATATGCAAATTGAGCACTCCATAGCCTTCCCTGGGGACTACCTTCTTTCTAGCAAGCCTCTGTCCCCTGGCCGTAACCATCTCCAGGGCCAGGCATCACACAACAAGAGGCTGACCTTAAGCCTCAGCCTGCCCGGTCTAAACTCACCTACCCTACTCACCCTGGCCCTGCCCTTCCCACCCCACCCCCCGCCCTCCCCGTGAAAACCATAAGCAAGGTCATGCCCATGTTTGCCCTTCACTCCTGTCTCCTGACCAACCCTGATGCTTCCCCATGGGGCCCTGAATGGTGTGGCTTGCCTCCTGTTTCTAGGGATCTGTGAGTATATAACTTGTTTACTGCCAAATGTGGTAGTTCACACCTGTAATCCCAGCACCTGGGAGTTCAAGGTAAGTCTGGGCTACATAGCTAGACCTTGTCTCAAACAAATCATCCTTCCTCACATGGCCAAGGCTGGCACAGTTCTCTCAGGAATATCTGTGTATGGAAGGATGAGACCATCTCCATAGCAGAACGCCTGTCACCCCCACCCCCACCCCCGCACACGCTCTCTGACTCTGCACAGCACACACAAAGCTCCTGACCCTGGGACGCCCTTCCTGAGGGCAGATCACAGAAGAGAAACTTGAGTGTCCCTTTTCCTCTGAATGCCACCTGTCAGGCTTTATGCTGGTTGGCTCTAAGCATGTCAGCTTGGGGACATTCCCAAGCACTCTTAGGAAAGGGAACATCCAAATCACGGAGGATTCTCCCTTTGATTGAAGCCCATGACAAAGATTCATTTTTATATTATAGATTGACATGTATATATTTGTAATTGTATCTTCTTATATCCAGTGCTGAATCTCCAGCTTCCAGAATTGTGTCTAGCAAAATATAGACATTTAATAAATGTTGTTGAATGAATGAATGAATGAACCAAATCAAAAATACAAATTGCAGAACTGGGCATAGTTGTACACTCCCATAATCCCAGCACTTGGAAGGCTGAGGTAGGAGGATCATGAGTTCAAGGTCAGCCTGAACTACAAAGTAGACTTTGTCTCAAAACAGCAAAAGCAAAAAAAGGTGGGGGATTAAAGATGTAGCTCAGTGGTAGAGCACACAGTTAGCCTGCACAAGGCTGAACTGCTGTAATAGCAGTGCTGAGGCACACAGAAAGTGCCTGGACAATATTTGCTGAGTATATCAACAGACTAATGAATGGCTAAATGAATCTGGGTTCAAATCAAGTCTCCATTAATTGAACACCTCTATATGGCTGAACTGGAAATTCAGTAGTGATGAAAACAACTTCCTGCTCACACGGAGTTTACAGAAGAGTGGGGAAGGCAGATGGGGAACAAACATAGAATGCCTTGTCTGGAAGTGGCCAGGACTATGAAGAAAAGTGAGGTAGGAGAAGGGGATAGGGAGGTGACTGCCTCCAGTGAGTTGATCAGGAAAGGCTTTCCTGAGGCAGAAACCTGTCACAGAAGACCTGAAATAACACAGGCATGAGCCATGAAAATACCTGGGGACAGTGTATCCCAGGCAGAGAAGAGTCAGTGCAAAGGCCCTGGGGCAGAAGCCTGCTTGGCAGTTAAAGAATTAGAAGGAGCCCCTCCTCTTGTCCTGAGGTAAAGCAAGCCTTCCTCCTGGCTTTTCTAACGTCCTCTCAGAGGCTTACAGGACATCAGAGGAGAAGCACCATTACATAGTCGCACCCTGGCCTCCCCACTGCTCTTTCCCGCACCTTCCTACCATCCACACGCCCCTAGGACAGCATCCTACACTGCCTAAACACTCTCAGACACAGCCCTGCCAATGCGCCAGGTCAGGGTCCTGCATCAACAGCATCTGAGCCCTATATTCTCTGTGCCTCCGGTGCCCTTGTCACACCCTGGACCGAGGTCAAGGCCTGGACACCCAGCCTTGAATCCTGGCTCCATCCCCAACTTGCAACGTGACCTGGGCAAGTCATTTAATCTCTCTGAGACTCAGAGATATCATAGTCTTGGCCCTGCCAATCTCAAAGTTGTCGGAGAGATCGAATGGAATCATCCGGATAAAAATATTTCATAGATTGCTTTACAAATGCAGTGATTATTTTTACTTAAAGCTGCAGAGTTGAGGGCTGGCAGAGTAACTCAAGCAGTAAGAGCTCCTGCTTAGCAAGCATGAGGATCTGAGTTCAAACCCCCAGTAACGCAAAAAAAGGGGAGGGCACCTTCTCTTGGGAACCTACTCCAACTCTGGAGGCTCTACTTTCCCACTTTACACTTTTTTGTCTCAATAAACTCTCCCACATTACACTTTAAAAAAAAAAAAAGATGCAGAGTTGACCCCAGCTCTTCTCACCTTTCTCCCAAGGCATCACCAATACTCCACAAGAAGAATAAAAATGGCATAAACCTATTAGATGAATAGGAGGACAGGAGGGCATCTCAGTAGAAGTGGTGGTGGCGGGGGTGGGGCACAAGGATAGGATGAGACTGCCCAGAGGAAAAGTTCAAAAGCAGGGGGGGGGGGAGGGGGCATGGCCGTGAAAATGAGAATCACTTTCGAGCCTGTAAGAACCATCAAGTTCATTCTACCACCTGCACCAGTCAAATATCATGTCCAGCAAGGGAGAGGAGAGATAAATCAGATTGTCCATTCTTCTCGAAAAACTGATATTCCCAGTTGAAAGACCTGAGCATTCTAGCAGCAAAAAAGGTGAGCAGCAGCCTAACAACGTCAGACACAGAGCACACACCAGCTTTTAATTGTATTCAGTTTAAACTTGAATAGGCAAGCCAGGATCACCTGGTCCCCCTAAAAGGAGACAGGCCAAGATAACCAACAGAAAAAATGACCACAGGAAAACTAAGAAGAACAAAAGTCTGAAAAACTATTTTTAGTGTCCCCAGAGATTTTCAGGTCAACACTACATCCTTAGAAATAAGAATTGGTTGCTCTGAGAACACAGAAAAGGCTCTGGGGCAAGAGTTCACTAGAAGAGCTGGAAGGTGACGTTGAGGAATTTGGCCAAAATGCAGAAGCAAAGGGCAAAGAGTGAGAAACTAAATGATTCATGATCTGAGTGCTGCAGGAACGATGCAGAAGATGCAAGGCATGACTGCTAGGTGCTCTAGGAAAAGGAACAGAGAGCAATAAAGAGGAGGAAATACCATATCAAGAGATTTGAGACAGGCTGGCAGAGTGGCTCAAGCAGCAGAGCACCTGCTTAGCAAGTACAAGGCCCTGAGTTCAATCCCGAGTACTGCAAAAAAAAGGAAGGAAGCAAGGACAGAAGAGTGGAAGGAAGGAGAGAATGGAGGGAGAAAGGAGAGAAGGGAGGAAGGAAGGAAGGAAGGAGAGAAGGGAGGGAGGAAGGAGAGAAGGGAGGGAGGAAGGAGAGAAGGGAGGGAGGAAGGAGAGAAGGGAGGGAGAAAGGAGAGAAAGGAGGAAGGAAGGGAGGAAGGAGAGAAGGGAGGAAGGAAGGGAGGAGAGAGAGAAGGAAGAGAGATTCGAGAGAAAGTTCAAGAGTTTGGACATGAGCTCCAAATTAAGAGGTCCCACTGGGCACTGAGGCACACCAGTGGGACATTTCAGAAGCACCTGATCAGAAAAAAAGCAAAAAACAAGCAAACAAAACCAGATCATCTCGAAAGGAACAAATACCCTCATGCTTCCCATGTAGCCCTGATGCTGGAAGATGGTGCAGAAGTTATGTTCACCTAAAATAACACCTACCAAACCAGTCATTAGCCACCAACCCAACAGACCAATCAATCATCAAGAATAGGAAAAAATTAAATCATTTGGACACAGAACGACTCCTTGCTTCCTGGGACTTTACTTGAGAACAGGTAGAAGTAAAAAAGAAGCAAACAAGAAAGAATCTGCTGCTGAGTCCTAAGCAAAGGGGCATTCAACCTGAAACAGTAGAGAAGGGACATTCCTGGACAGTTTCAACTTCCATAGAAGCCTCTCGTCCAAGTTGGCACAAGAGGATGAAGAAGGTCCTGAAGCAATGCCCTGAAGGTTGGGGAGACAGTGAGAAAAAATAGGGCACAATAGAGATGAAGGGGATACAAGACGGCTAAAAGCGCCAGGGGGCATAGGGGGGCGGTCAAGAAAGGAGATGGAACCAGTGTGCCTCCCTGGCCTTTGGTGAGCAAAAATTGTCCCAATAATGGAAAACATTCTCTACTGGTCCTCAAATTTTAAAGTCAGTCCTAAAGAAAGTCCTGAAAAGGTTCATTGTGGTTAAAAATAAAATGTAAATATTACTAGCCTTGATGTTTAAGATGTGAACTCATGGATGACTGATCACAGGCTGGAAGAGGAACTGAAAAGCAGGAATAAATTTAACAGCCTTATCTTACAAGGTGTAGCAGCTAGAGACACTGTCTATAGTTTGTAGAAGGAGAAATATGTGACTTAGGTAATCTATCTATAGAGGAACTAAACTAGCAACACATCTTGTATTAGACTGTGTTCTATTGCTATAACAAAATACTCAAGGTTGAGTACTGATAAAGAAAAGAGGTTTATTTAGCTCACAGATTTGTTTTATATATTTATTTATTTATTAGCAAATATTAGTTGTACAGGGGGTTTCATTGTGACATTGACATATGTGCTTACAATGCATCTTAATTAGTTTCACCCCCTCCATAGCTCACAGTTTTGAAGGCTGAAAGTTCAAGATCAGGTGGTCCCACCGGTTCAGCCTCTGATGAGGGTTCCCTTAACTACACCACAACATGGCAGAGAATCAGAAAGAGAAATGGCCACATCAGAAGAGATCACGTAACAAGACAGGAAGCCAGAGAGACTCAGGAGTCAGGCTTAG